GATGCACTGCAGGGGAAGATGTGCCTTGGAATATGCTCTGCCTATTAGAGCATCTTCATGGTGGTGGAAGTGTCAACACTGCAGGCACTTGGCTTCTCACCAGGACTTAAAACAGTAATTCTTACGGAAACCACTGTCCTCATGGCTCCAGAGCTGCCTGACTGCTAGGGCTAATGATCACCTGGAACTTCATAGCATCAATGAGAGCTCCATGCAGATTTTCCTGATCCAAACACATGTCCCTAGTATTCAAGTGAAAGAAGAAACAGCCCAAGCTTCTGCAGGAGACCAGATACAAGTCTGGCAGTTTCAGCTCCCAGCAGCAGAGGCTGTACTCACACTTGCAAAGCCTTGTGAAATCCTGAACTTGTCAGGTCTTAGAGGAAGGGAATTAGCAGTACGACAGTTCCATGGGAAGATGAAGTAGTCTTGGCTTACAGCAGTGAGTGTTTCAAGCAAAATTCAGCCAGTCTGTGGATTCACAAGGGGATGCAGAATGCTTGGCAGTTTCCTTATGTCGGCAGCCAGGGTGGCCTCATTTCATTCAAATGATGGGTGCTCTCAGATCACAAAGCTGGCCCTGATCCCTAGCAATGATACCTGGGAAGCAAGAGGAATCATAGGTGTGAAGAAGTATTCTCGGCAACTTCCTTTGATATCTGCCTGTTGTTGTATTTATTTAATTCTAACTGCAAACACCAAATTACACAAAGTGTGATTTCTAGGAAATGGACACCCTCCATCTCAGTTCCAAGACCAGCCATCAGCAGGTTGAGTAGCAGCTGGGAGTGGGCGATCTGGGACCCACCTCTGCCACACCACATAGGAACACAGCCAAAGCCATCTCAGCTCAGTCTTTGCTACGCAGCTCTCTGCATTGGTTAACTCTGTGCATGAAGAGGCTTCATAACTATGAGTGGCAATGTGTAAAACCCAGGAACAGCCATAGGCCAAATCAACCTCCAAGTGGCAAGCACCAGCAAAGCCAAGAGGTGCCCAAAGAGTACCGAAGCTTTCCTGAATTTATTACCATGATAAACAGAGATTGTGTTTCTTCACCTCTTCCCCTCTCAGCTGCCTCCTTCCCCTTCAAGCACAAAGATATGATCTCTTCACGGTGATTCTGCTGACTGATAAACATTAGCAATTGATGTGTTTCACTGATGAGCACAGGACAAGACTGAGGGACCAGCTGCTTCCAGGCTGCACCAGTATTTTCCAGCCTGCTATGTCAGGAAAGACATTTCAGTACTGAGCAAGACAACAATACACACAGGGGTAATAGTCAACACCCAGATGGGGCTCTCCAGTTAGGGATGGGAGACAGACACTATTTTACTGTGAGAGTGACAGAGCACTGGAACAGGTTTCCCAGAGAGGTTGGAGTCTTATTCTCTGGAAATATTCAAAGGTCAGCTGAACACAAACCTGAGTAACCTGCTCTAGGGGACCCTGCTTGAGCAGGGAGGTTGGACTAGATGACCTCCAGTGGCCCCTTTCAACCTTGCCCATTCTGTGATTCTGAACAGCTTTGAAGGAAGCCTTAAAAGAATAAGAAGTGAATAAAATTGACTAAATATATAACCCTAAATGAAATAAGAGGCTTTAGCTTAAAAGAGGAAGGCAAATAGTACATGAAGCTAAGAGAGGACTTGCTTTTGCCATCAATGTTCCTCATCAGATGCTCAGGCATTAACTTTGTTGAGAACAGAATAAAACTCACAGAGAATTAAATACTCTAAGGTCTAAATACCTTAATAAATCAATTCTGACCTCTACAACATGTAGCAAGTGTCCCAGAATTTCACCAAATTATTCCTACATTAAGTTCAATTTTTCTTCCAGAAACAAATCCACTTTGAAAGAAAAGGGTGTTGAAGTGCCATAATTCAGGAGAGTAAGACATGCATCAGTGTGGCTTTCTTGGGAGCAAGGAAGGGCAAATGACACAGGCTCCCAGACCATGCATCACCCATCTGCTCAGCCTCTGCATTTCAACTCTGGCCTCATCTGATCCCCCATATTGCAATGCAGAGATGTTGGGATTGAGAAAACAGTGTCCCCCCATGACCTGACAGCACTGAGCAGAGAAACAAAGCAGAGGCTGGCAAAAAAATTTAAAACACTCGCACCAGAATTTTTCAAAAAAAAAGAAATCAGAAACAATAAGCTTTTCTTTTGAAAGAAGAATGCAAAATGCCAGCATTTAAATCCTTTTGCCTCATAACTGAGTCCAGGGTTATGCCACAATTCAGGTAAATTATGTTTATATAACTGGCATTTGGCTGAATGCATAATTCCTATTTAACAGCTGAAAAGAGGCATTTTGGGTTTTCAAAGAAATCTGACAGGTAATTCCCACTGTAGTTCTGCAGGGTAGCTGAGAGGTAATTATCCTTCTCACTAGTAAATCAATTAGGAATGAATGTATGGAAAGCTTTTCTCCTCCTCCAAGTAACTGCTAATCCTCTAAGCACTTATGAGTAGACATGGCTAGCAACAGTGTGCAAACCCGCCAAAAATCAACAGGAGGCATATAGGGTCCAATCAGTACCTGGGAATGAATGCCTCAGGAGAAAATACCATGCCTGGAAAGGGTCTGCCCAGTGCACCATGGGCACACAGGCCCTGTGGACATGTTACTGTTGGTATCTCCCTCTCCACTTATTGATTCAAACAAAGACTTTTTTTTGCAGCTCACATGAGATCACTGCATCATGTGCAACCAGGCAGCACTTCTGCTGCTGGAGGTGAAACACATAGGACCTGGGCTTTTTCTAGCAGGGATGCTAGAATACCTAAATTCATTTAGCTCAGGCTTTTTCTACTGGGATGCAACTGATGCACCTACTACTTTGTGATTCATCATTGGTGGTTGTCCTTGGGAGCTCAACAAAAAACATTCTGCTTACTCTCCAGGCCAATGGAACAATATTCACAGTGCAAGACTGGAAGCATACTACAACCCAAGTGCATTTTTTGCAGTGCGTAACGTGGACAATAAAACCAAAACTGAATTTGACAAATTTCAGATGCTCCAATCCAGTGACACCTTCTTTAGGCATTTTTCAAGTGTTGCACGGATGTTTGGAATTGCTTTGACGGTCAACAAGGCAGAGCTCAGACAGACCAGCTGTTTAAGCATACACAGTAATATTGCTCTTATATTTAGCAGAGGTAGAAAAAAACGGAAACAAGTTGTCCCCACAGCAGCCAGCACTAAAGCTGGTTTCCTGTGGGTTTCCTTGCAGCTTTTCCCTATGTTTCGTAAGATTTTCAGAAGAGCTGAGAAGATAGAAGACAGATAAGTCCAGAAATCAATTCCTTAAGATAGAAGACCAAAAGATTTCTTTAAAATTGTAATCTCAAGTAAGAAAACGGCAGATAAAGATAGGTCTGCATACCACTATATGATGAAACATAGTGTTTTTAATTAAAAAAAAAAAAAAAAAGAGAGGAAAAACTGCTAATCTATAAAGCTTGGTAGGCTTGAGAAATTGCTAGAAGATAATAATATATCCTTATACTCTCATTTGTGAGGGAGTCTTTACACCAGTGACAGGATTTGTAACTGAGCATATTGCCTCTGCTTTTGGGTGGGCAGAGTTGCTTTGGAAACAGAATGAGGAAGAATTAACTCTTCAGTGCCCACCATATTCGACAAGGGAGGAGTGTGAAGGCCAGGGAAGCTCATTACAAAATATCTAAATTCATTTAGCTCAGGGGAAAAAAGAAATGAAAAAATTCAAGGTACTTGTCACAATAATACATCAGGAAAAATATAAGCTGAACCCTGGCCAGTCTGTCCTGTACATCCAAACAAGCACAGTAATCAGAGCTATGTCTGCCTTAAGGTCACATACACTGAGATAAACATCAATCCCGAAACCTCTGTAGACTGACCAGTGATGGAAAACACAACAGTGGCAATAGGAACAGCACAAGTAGCAAGTTACTAGTTTGGAAACCTCCTGATGGAGCCAGGCTATGGGCAGTTTGGAAGTGATCAAGCCAAATAGTTTGCACCTCATCCAAACGCAGCTTCACTGTCAGCAATTAGCTTCGTGCCACAGCACTCCCACGCTGACTTCTGTGGGTAGCTGAAAGCCTCTTTGTCCCACTACCTCCCCTGAATCAACACAGGCAATAATTTTAAGCACTGAGGAGTAACTCCCGGGCTGCGGTCTGTGAGCCAGCTGCAGCCCTAATTGCATCACGTGGGAAGCATGAGCAGGGGGTTTGAAAGCTGTGACCTCATCTTGTCTCCTACACATTCAAATCAAATTGTAGGTCTCCCACCCACTCTCCCAGGCATATTCTGCTTTCAGCCCCCTTACATGATGCAACCAATGAAAATGTCATTTGCATCTTTGCCTCCAAATTCTAACTAGGGAAAGCATAAAGGGGAAAAGAGTCAAATGCAGAAATAAATGCCTTTTACTCAGTATTTCTAATAATAAGGAGACAGAAGGCAGGGAGAGGTGTATTAGCCAAAGCCAGTGTAAGCATGAATCCCAGAAACATTTGTGTGAGTTCAACTTCTTTAAAGTTGCAACAGTCAGAAGCAAATAAAAGCAACATTTTTATTTCTCTAACACATTCAGCAAAAGAAATTAAGCATCCCCATCACATGTAAAACCAGATCAGTTCTACCAGATTCTGTTGAATTGCACTAGTCCAACTCAGGCAGAAAATTCAAGCTCTTGTGAATTACCAACAGATTTCACTTTAGGATCATAATTCCTCTCAGAATGCTGTAATTTTGTTTCTATAGCTACCAGCTCGATGGCTCTCCCTTACCTTCCTCTTGTTAGTGGGACTGACATATAGGTGTAAAACCAGATCAGTTCTACCAGATTCTGTTGAATTGCACTAGTCCAACTCAGGCAGAAAATTCAAGCTCTTGTGAATTACCAACAGATTTCACTTTAGGATCATAATTCCTCTCAGAATGCTGTAATTTTGTTTCTATAGCTACCAGCTCGATGGCTCTCCCTTACCTTCCTCTTGTTAGTGGGACTGACATATAGGTAGCTCAGCACAGTCTTCAGGCCTACTTTGTCATTTAGCTTTTCATAGGTAGTGCCATAGTCTGTTGACCTGGAGAAAAGAGGAGACAAAAAGAGTTTATGTAGTTATTAGAGCTCAGAGGAAGGGAATGACTGTGTGAACAGATGCTCAGAGTTACAGTTTGAGCACTATTATGCTTAAAACTCAAGATTTTGTGTTTCATCCAGGATGGCCAGAAGAAAAGAGAAGAAAATTTGTGTCCTTTGAGGCAGGGTCTGTCTCTGCATCAATTAAGTCTATGCACCTGGGGAGTTGTGGTGCATAAAGGTGGACTTCGGGGGCTCTCACGTGCCAGTGTGGGACTTCAAGTCATATCTACATCAGCCTCTCTTTTCAGACAAATCCAACATAAGTATCCAAATTAAACCCATGAACTACAGTTTCATTTAGGTAGGCTGATTTTTGACTTGGAGATGGGGATCCAAATGTGGCTCAGAATTGTAACAGCTGAACTCATGTCTAGATAAAAATGTGCCTAAACTGGCATCTTGAGTCCTCAGTCACCCCTCATCCTGCTTTGTGCCAGGCATTTAATTTCTCTGAGTTACAGAGACAGATTCAGGCCCTTACACTAGCAAATCCCACCCAGAGGCGCAGATGATCTGGGGGTGGTATTACCCATTCGTGACTGGGGAAAAGGGCTGCTTCGTCACAGAGGGTTTTCTGTAGTTTCCTCCTCTTCATTTGTGGGCATGTTTGAAACCTCACTTTGCCCTGCTTGTTTCTCTGCTGTTTTCCTACTCTGTTTTCCTAACAAACAAGCTTTTTCCTACCAGAACAACTCAACAGCTACCTTGCACAGGATCCCACACCTGAAGAGTAGTCAGCACCAGCTTGCTTTAGGAGGGTTGTCACAACCTGCCTGAAAACCTACCCACCCCATCCAAAGAGTGGAGAGAGCCTGGCTCCTGACCCTACACAGCTTTTGTCATAGTAACAGAGCAAATACAATCCTTAGCAGATGGACAAGGAATGACCTTCACAAAAAGCCCACCTGGACACACCTATGATTTTATTAAGACAAGAATCCATTCTCTCTAATCATGCTAAACAGATGATCAGAGAACATGCAGCAATTCAGTGCCTTTCCCAGTAACTAGCTCCAGTAATCTTCTGATTTCTTAAGTTCAGCAAGTCTCTAGCATTTGCAGCTTTATGGTTCTGCCTGAGTCCAGTCCTCTGCTCCTTGTCTGTCTGGTGGAGAAATGGCCCAAGTCACCTTCTGGCATCACAATCAATAGTACCAGTGCACCCAGCAGCAAGACTCCCAGGCAAGTGGCTACAGAGAAGGAAAGACACCAGAATCTGCACCCAACTCTGCTGCTTTCCTTGCTGCTAATGAAATCCAGAGTGACACCAAAAGGGTCAAGTCACAAAATCAGTCAGCTGGTTTCAGGCTTCCAAGTAGTAGGACTCATGAAGTCAAAAGCTTGTTTTATCGTGGCTCTAAGACATTTGCTTCTGTGCATCCTTCAATGACAATTTCGAAAATGTTTTGTAAACTGGTTTTTTCCTTAAAGGGGTTGAACCAACCTTCCTCCTTTGAATGGCAGCAGTCAGGGGTGCTCAAGTCTCAAACAACTTCCTTGTGTTCTGGTTTAGGTCTTCAGTACTAAAATAGAACTAATACTAGCTCCATTTGCACTTAATACTCTTTTGTGATCATGCATAGTATCAACCTTGAACACTGTGCACAGTTCTGGACTCCTCAGTTCAGGAAGGACATTTAAGTACTGGAGCGGGTCCAGAGAAGAGCGACAAGTCTGGTGAAGGGACTGGAGCCCAAGTGCTATGAGGAGAGGTTGAGGGAGCTGGGGGTGTTTAGCCTGGAGAAGAGGAGGCTCAGGGGAGACCTTATCACCCTCTACAACTACATGAAAGGAGGTTGGAGTCAGGTGGGGGTTGGTCTCTTCTCCCAGGCAACCAGCAGGAGGACAAGAGGGCACAGACTCCAGCTCTGCCAGGGGAGGTTTAGTTTGGATAATAGGAAGAGATTTTTTACAGAGAGAGTGATCAGGCATTGGAATGTGCTGCCCAGGGAGGTGGTGGATTCACCATCCCTGGAGGTTTTCAAGCTGAGACTGGATGTGGCACTTAGTGCCATGGTCTAGCAACCACGGTAGGGTTGGACTGGATGATCTTTGAGGTCTTTCCCAACCCGGTTGATTCTATGACTCTATGACATCTGCTGTGCTTCACAGAGATGCCCCAAAGAATATTACAATAATGTACTGTATTATCATAGCACTTTCCCATCCAAAGGCTCTGAAACTCTTGTCTCCCTAGGTATCAATACCAAACAAAAAAAACTCTAGTAGCTTCCCCCCTCCAGCTAAGCTTGAAACTGAAGCAGCTTTATTAATAAAACTGAATAGTCCAGGCCAATTAATTCCAGTACATGAGGCCTCCTATAAATGCTAATTCAACAGGTTAGGAATCCTCAAGTAACATTAAGCTCTATGCAGAGGATTACACACAGAGGGCAAGCAGAGGTACTTCCTTGATCTCACCCTTCCAACAGCACTGAAGCTATGAACAAGCCACTTTTGTGACTACACATGTACCAGCCACCAGCCAGTGAAAGAGATCACTAATTTCAATCAGCATTGAAAGAGAATACAAATAACAGTTTAATATTCTGACAGAGCTACTTTGGTTTTGTTCTCTGAGTAATTTTAAGATCTCCCAAAATGCTTTGCACTTCTAAAGATGCAGGCAGGATGCCCTAATGACTCTTTCTCATTAAACTATTATCACTCATTGCATTTGCCCTTTCAAAGAATAGCTGGAAAGGAAGTAGGATCATTATTTCGTTAGCTGCTTTGAGTCTTTCTTTATTATCATGACAGTCACCACTGGTTTCACAGAAATGTCTCAAAGGATATCACAACAATATACTATATTTCCATAGCACTTTCCCATCCAAAGAATCCAAAGCTTTTGTCTCGTGCTAATCCATTCAAACTACCAAACTCCCAAGGGCCTTACTGGGAAGTATTTATGTATTCTAGAGATGAGGAGCTTGCATAGGGAATGGTTAATTTTTTCAAAAGCAGGCATCTACAATTAGCCATTTTGGCTTCTACAATCATCTACTGTATGGCTCAATACTCAAACCTGCTAAACTCCTAACACCAAACTGCCCAATTTGAAAACAAGCATTTTAAAAAAAAAAAAAAAAAAAAAAAAGTTGGCACTAATTTTAGCAACTCAAGTCTGAACATTTGAAGAGATGTAACCCACAGGTAAAACAGAACAGTTGTGGCTCAGCTTTTAATAGTAACTTGAACCCTTCTCCTTTACTAATTACTTCTAATTCCAAATTAACTAGCCCACATATCCTTAGAGTTACTTCACACTACAAGTAGACTGGATGCCACATTCTCTCCCATTCCTCAAGTCAGAATAGGATCCACTTCAAATCATATTATTAAAGGAGTGGAGGGAAAG